TTAGATTTTTAAAAACAACAAAAAACAAACAACCTAAGAATTCTAACTCCACCAGGCACGTCTCCTACAACGACTCTGCGCTTGATGGCCCTCGACTGCCTTTTAAGTTGTAGAGGAAATAAGTAAAGACCTTGGAACGCACTGCCAGCACGTTAACCAGCAAATAAAGATATAATTAAAAGCCTTATAAATAGTAATAAAAGTATAAGAGGATAATGATATAGACAGATCAATTGGGAACCAAACTGTAAATTGTCTCCTGTAAATCTATCTAATAAATCAAGACAGGTTCGAGTAATATCTGGACAACATCCTGTGCAGTATCCAGCTGTATCTATAACATGATTCCACTTGCCTTTATCAACGAAGCAGGCCTGAAAACAAGTTAGCGGAAGTATACCTGTTCGAAACCATTGTATTAATAACCTGGGGTCTAATAAAACGGAGAGCAGATGGTTTTGTGCACCTGGGCCCAGTAATGCCAGTCTAAAGGTGTAAAGCAATATACTAAAAGCGAGATCGAAGGTGAACTAATGAAGATAAATTATGAAGGATGAACAACCCAAAAATAGGAAGGAGGGTTAAAAAGGGCAACTTTGCCAGAAATACAGCTAATGCTAGTAATAACTCAAACGAGGCAGTAGCAAATAGATGGAGGAATAAAATATTCAAAATAAATAAGTTCCCTATTTAAAATCAAATAATTTGTCCCACATTAACCAGAGGATGGTCAGGATAGGCGTGTATGCACATACTTTTGTGCAAGCCTGCAGTAGCAACTGCACTCACCAATTCAGCATCGTTGATCGACTGCCTGGTGATCAGGTTTGCGCTGGCAGTGCCCATGTTGCGCTTCTGGAATGCCATTGTCTGAAAAAGAGGAGAGCCAGAGATGAATGGGAAACAGAATGAGGCAGAAGGTAGAAGAAAAGACATGAATAAAACGCATATTCCTTTAGCCTGAGACTCACGAACTGTTGTTTCCGTTGTGAATAGAGGCAGCGACTTTTTCAGTTAAACGAGTGCTCAACAAAGGAGCCTTCTTCTATTTATTTTAGAGTATCAGGCTAGCTAATCAGTCCTAAATTACTATTTGCCTAAACCAGTTATCCATCCATTAAGTTGAAAGATGGCGCTGACAAAGACATTTGATCAAGATCCCTTAACATAACTAGGTTTATAATCACAATGTGTGGCTTGAGCTATTTTGGAAGATAATTCCAAAAGAGGAGTGATGGAAGTCTCGAGGAAAGCAAAGATAGTTGACCCGAATCCCACTTTCTGCATAAAGCATCAGGATTTGATTATACCTAATTGTATATGTTTAAAATTCTCAGTATGGCGGTTATGCTTGTCCTAAGGATGAAGCGAATTCTCTGAAAAAATTTTAAGAGAATCCTCTAAATTGTGGCTATTTGTATATTAAATCGGCCTACTGCTCTCGTATTCATTCGATTAGGCTCAGAAATTGTGATAAATCTTTCATTTCGTTTGACGAGATGAGTAGAAAGGATTCTTAAGTTGGTTCCGCCAGAGGCTGTAAGGGGTTGCCTTTGAATTGTGGTTATAGTTAATAAATGCTTGCAGGGCGGTGCGTCGAGGAACTAATCGCACAAATCTACAAACCAACTCGCATATCCCTTCCATTCGCCTCTTCAAACAAAATGAAAGTTATTCCAACATCAATATATTAAGCGATTCTTCGAAACCCAGTTTTTCAACATACCTGCGTGATCGGAAATCTATGTGCTTTCAAGATACTCAGATGACTATGCCACATGGCCATGTCTTTTGCAACCACAAAACAGATGAGCAATATGCTTGTGGATTAGCCGACATACCCAAGTTCAGGATGTTTGCGTATTAAAGTAGGGTTTCGAGACACTGTTTGCGTTATGTCCATACTTCTGGCAGCTGGACTCTTTATGCTGTTTGCCGAATGTGAGTTGTGAATTGGTCTCACCAAAAGAGCATGGATGCAGGCAAGTATCTTGTGAAAATTGACGCATTGCATCAGATACGTTAACTCGGAGAAATCCACGATAAGGAAAGTCGAGAAGCAGCTTTGATCATGGTTCCAAGATCGATTATTTGACCTATGCTAACGATGATGGTCTATAGCGCATGAAGAGGAGTTAGATGCAAGAATACCATTTTCATGATAGGAAGAGGAGACAAAAAAGCAGGTTCGTCCACTCGCATTGACGGTTGTCGGAGCCCACAAGTCCTAACAGCCTAAACGAAAGGATGACTTGACACCGGTGCACTATTTTTTATGCTTTTTATCTAAGCAAACGTTAAAGCTGGTGCTAAGTATGATATTAACCCCGGAAATTGGTATAATTAGGGCTGCCGGTAAAGTAACTGGTCTGAAAGTGGTAATACTGATAATAATGATGCTGTCATTTCTGTCATAGTGGCAGTATTGTTCTAGTCTATGAGGTGTTTTCATCCTGTCTCGTTTAAGGTGATGAAGGACGGATATTTGAATTTTTCCACAATTATATGAGTAGAGCTGATATTTTCCATTGAATTTCACATAGCTTTGCTTTGTCCAAAGGCGTTCTCAGCCAGGGTGGAGTGTAGTTTCGACCTCGCATTACTTTTTCGTGAGTAGGTTTTCGAGACTACCATTAAGCCAGATATATGAGTTATTTTCACTCACGAAAAAAGTAATGTCGTCGATTGTTATAGCAAATATAAGCTTGCTTCATCGACATTCCCAACACAGAATGTAATATAGAAAATGCCTGACATTTCTTGAAATTCACATCTTCACTGTGACTCAATTGCACTCGAGGCAATGTGGCGTAGTGATTAAAGTGTCGAGCTTACATGTTGCACTGTCAGGGTTCGACTTCCGCTTGGGAAGTTGCGAGGTAGAAACTACAGTTTACCCTGGATGAAAACATCTTTTGGGAAAGCAAAACATTGTGAAATTCAATGGAAAACATTACCTCAACTCATATCCTTGTGGGAAAATTCAGCGAGTTATTAGAGGCGTCCAAATCTAGGGCAAGGATAAAATGTATTCAACGGTGATTCCTAAGCTCGATGGGGAGCATTAGCTTTTCGAGGGAGAATCGAAAAATCAGTAAGCCGATTACGACCCCCTCAACTTGTGAGGCTGGAAAGTCAAAAAATAATTGGGAAATACACGATAAAAGTGTGATG